ACTGACTGCTGTGTGCCTCTATTTCTCTTTACAGCTCTCACTCACATATTACGAAACTATTCACTTTGAGTTTATAAATATGTATGAATGATGTCATCATACACAACTAACCAACCTGTCACTCTAAAATACCTTTTTGTCACATGCTGTATTTTAGATTTTTATATGAAAATATGTACATTTGAGTTTTCATGGATCAATTTAGAATTGTATGGCATATAATCAGTTTTTATGATGAACCTGCAGGAACATTTACATTTAAGGTGTGTCACGTTTTAGTTCAGATGCTTTTGAATTTTTCCTTTTATCCATTCAGAAAATTTAGGACATTTAGTTAGAATATTTAGACAAGTCACATGTATTATCATTATTGACATTTGAATTTAAACTGACCATGTTACTGTCTTTAATCTCACTGATCATGTTTTCCTTTACCACCAGATTACTTTTCTTACTTTTTGTCTTCTAATTGTAGTGAAAAATATTTGAGTAGAGATTACATTTATATGACTTTAATTTACCATTTTCTATTATCAAATGACCCACAAATGTTATTAAGTATATTCTACAGTGGACTTGAGTTCTTCATTACTTTAATTTCATCTTATTCTTGTCATATATTTTACTTTTACATATGAATTAAGTATCAGAATGTATTGTTGATTTTTAATACTTGTCTCCAAATGATATTTTAAATTATAAAAGTAAAATCAATTTTACCTACCACATGGTTGTTACAAGATTGCAGTGATCTTTATCCCTTCCTGTAGATGTAGACAGCATATCAGTGCATGATTTCCTGATGTAGAGAAATCCTTTAACAATTGTGTGGTGTAAGTCCACCAATATTTATCTGTTCCTCTCCCACATATCTGACAATCTTTGTATCTCCATCATTGTAAAGAGCTACATCTTTGCTAGCTATAGTTTGTCATCTTTAGTTTTAATGTATTTAGTGACTAGTAGTACACGACCAACTTGGTTTTCCATGAATAGCTGAATAGCAATGTCCTCGTGTGTGGTCCCACCAAGAACAGCAATCTGCTTTTCCAGCTGTATCATCTTTCCAAAGCACCAGCATCTGTTTTAAGTCTTATACCTCATGGACACCTTGGGAGAATATTCCTCTGTTGGTCTGATAAACTTCAGCCCTTTTAGATAGAAAATCTCCACAGTCTACCATAATTTAAGCAAAGCTCATCTTAAATAAATAAAGCCTAACTTACTTGGACTGCACCTTTTTTGTGTTTCCAATATGTGTGTAACTATAATTTTACTAATCAGAGTTTGTACTCTGAATACATCTTGATTTTTTTATAAATTAATTTTTGAAACAATGGATAGAGGATTATCTAACTTGCCTCTTAGTACAAGTTGCACTACTCAGGTTTCATTTATAATTTGTTTAAACTCTTTCCTGCAACTGAATCGGGTCCATTAATCATGATATTATCTTCCCGAGACTTAACCTATTGGCTTTATTGATAAGCCCATCAACCTTTCCTTTTGCTGAATACCAAGTTAGTTAAGGATCACTGCCAACCACTGATGCTTCTCTGTGACGAATTCTGTTCCTTCATGGCCAGTGGACTTCACCGTGGCTCTGTCTTCCCAAGTGAGCAGACAAACTACCTTCTGCCAAGGTCCCTGGTCTTTGGCTTTCAATATCAAATATGCTTCTAGGAAGGATTTGGTCTTCTACTCTCAGGAATTATAATTCAGTGGTGTGTGCTAGCCCTTATGTAAAAGAGTACTTACAAGTTTCTAGTTTCTTTACAGTGGATGAGCTAATCCAGCCCACTTGTCTCTATCAGGAAAGAGGGAGCAAATTCTGTATTTTTCGAGATCAAGTGCCCAAATGAGCAATGACTCCTTTTACGTGGCACTTAACTAAATTGAGAATTCAGAGATAATGAAGACAGAGGCTGTAACTCAGTGGCACAGTGTCTGCCTAGCAAGTGCAAGGTCCTGAGATTGACTCCTTGTATAAAAATAAAAATACAGCTAATGAAAGGGTTCCAAACCCTGAATACAGCAATACTCATAGGATAAAAATACTCTCAGATTCTAAAACTTTATGATCCGGGGGTCGAAAGTGGTTTATTATTGAAAAGCAACAAAAATATTTCCAAAATGTTTTATAATTATTTTAAATTTAGTCTTCTTTTATATTGTAGCACCCTATTTACAGTAATGAGTTCTACTACAGACCAAATTTTCATATTTTTAGACAAATAAATTACTGTTGCTATTGGAAACTTTTCATTTAAATGTAAAAGTAGAATTCTCACCTTATGGAGAATATGGAGAAACAAAAGATTGCCCAAGGGAAGGGAATGAACGTGAGATGCATTTTGTTTTAATGTAATCACACATAGATATCAGTGATTTAACAACAGAGCAAAATCAGGAGCGAAAAGTCTACATTTTCTTTCCCTGAGAATGAAACTTACTTTGCTTTGTTCTAAATATCTTATTTCATTTAATTTTTTTCTGTAGCCCCACTGCACTCCCAATTTTATCTTCAAGAACAATAATTCACTGAAGTCATAACCATAATCTGCATTATTTTATCCTATTTTGAAAGCTGGCGCACGGTATTACCCACTCACAACTACATACACGTACCTTAGGAAAAAAAAAATCCCTTAAGGAAATTTGGAACCATTATTTCTATTGAAATTCACAGCATGATACAAAGCAAAGCTAAAAAATTTGTTGCCACCATTATAAGACTGAACATAATGGGAAACGAGAGTATTGCCCTGCCAATGGTAACCACGGAAATTGAATCACTTTGTATTGTTGCCCAGGACAAATCACTATAATGTGACATTAAAACACTTTTATTGTGTGTCTTAAGAATGCACAAAATTTGGTTTCCAGAGGAGCAGACTCTCGGAGACGTTGCACACTCTTAACGACATATGTGTGTCAAGGTGAAATCACAAGCAGCCCCTGAAACCCAAAAAAACAAATCAGTATTGCAAATCACTCAGGACAGGAATGGTGAGCATTATTATTATGCCATGGAAACTGCTAATTCAACATAAAGTTGTCATACACAAAAAGCCCTGAAGAATAATTTAGAAATTTGAGATTTCAAAAAAAAATCGTATTGTATATACATTACATTACTGATCCTTAAACTTTAAATTTAATTGTACTCAAACTCTTGTAAACACGTGTATAGACTCAGTAATAAATGAATACATGGACAATGAATAATTCAATGGATTAATTATAATTCTAAAGCTAGTATTCATTATGTACATGGAACGTGTCTTTAAGTGATGTGTTATTCAAATTGTTTCTGTGCCGTGGCGGTGGAGGTTGGCCTTGTCTGTTGATTTCCATCGCATCAATACTTCCCAGTGTCTGCTTTTAAGCTGTCAGTACGATATCACTTAACAGGAGATAGAAGAGATGCCTACATTTGGCTTTTTAAAAAGTCAGTGTCAGCTGCTTCCAGTACAGAAATATTTGTTAGGAGGATATCCTGCCACACCTTGAGATAGCAGCCATCATGCAGTTGTATAGATGGGGAAATGTTGGCGTTGATACTGACAAATTCACCTAACACACTGCTGGAATGAGAGAGTCAGCGTTCAAACTCTAGGCCTCCCTCCCCACATAGCCTAAAATTCTGCAGACACACGTGGCAGCATTCACTTATTTACACTCCTTAAGGCAGATTTTTGTAAACATGGAAGACTTGGACTCCAACAGTGATACGGCCACAAATGTGTATGACCTGGGTGCATTCCTGCTCACCTGCTTAAGCCCATGGGGTCATTCAAAGCAGGCCGTAAGTACATATTGGTACTGCTGAGATTCATATCAAGTTTTGAAATTCTGTAAGTTTTAAGGTGATAATTCTTAGATATGAGTTTTAAAAGAAGTTTTTAATCTTCCAAGGTGTGTGATGCAATGGTGCATTCCTGTCTTTTGTTCCATTTGTTTCAAATTTTCTCAAAAATTGCTCAAAACCCTTTCCTTTTTAGATATGCAGATGAGTATTCTTTAATATAAAACAGATGAAGCAACTTTAACTTGATTTTATATGTCATTCATATCTATATATGTATACATACCTAAAGCTAAACATGGATCAATTTTACTGTCATTCGTTTGATAAATAAAGCAACAATTTACAAGTTACAATGAGTCATTTGTAACTTGGATATCAATTTTGAAGCATGATGATTCTCTGTAGAAATTTCTTGTATTAACATATAATTCTGGAAATGAAAGCTTACATTTTTCAGGGGAGCAATTTAAATTTTGAAATACTTAGAGCAATGGGGAATGTAGGTGTCATGACAAAAATCACAATTTTCATTTTCTTTTGATAACCTTGATATTCTTTTTCAAATTGCCACTCTTATTTTAAGGCAAAGAAAGATTTTTGGATTTCATAATTCTACCTTTTTTGATTTACAATTCTGGAAAATTAAATCAGTCCAATAATACATGTAAAGTCTTCTCTATTCTCTATAATGGAGTCATTTCGTGCAGTTGCTTTGGTAACTGATTCTTTAGAGAAACTCAGAGCTTATAATATTCTTGATTAATTCCATCTTCAGAAACATTATGTCTAGTTTATATTAATGTATAAAACCACCTCAGATTTTTAAAAGATTATTTCTCTCAATTCTGAGTCTAAACATTTTAGTTAAAAGTAAAACTTTTATTGAGGAATGCATACTCTAAGCATGCTAAGTCCACTTAAAAAGGGAACATCTCTATTCAGATCTGATAGTAACATGATTTGCTTCAACAAGTCTTTTTATATTTCTGAATCTTTGAAATGAAGTTTCTGAGAATCGCCTTTCTCAGGGGTATTTTATTAAACGGACGTGAAAGATTAAATGCAAACTCCATAAAGGAACTGATAGTCAAATTCCAAAATTCTGTAGCTAATTAGGTTTTACGTTTTTAAATCGCATTCATTTTTATCAATAAAATTAAAATCATATTATATTCTGTGGAAAACTTACCAAGAAACTGTACCATAAAATTGTGTGAAGGCAAGAAAAGCAAATTCTGATCTTCAAAACAGAGCCAGACTTGAGAGTCATTTCCTGAGTTGAACTGAATCATGATTAACCTAGATAGTATTTGGAAGCCAATGTGTTATTGCACTGTAATCATTTCTTCTTCCTCTCATTCTTTTTCCAACTCTGAGCAGTCCGCATGGTTACTAAGCCTGACACCCTCTCTTTACCAGTTCAGCGTGCAGAGCTGACTGCGGGCCCCACATTCACCTTCTGCACCATCGCAGCTCATCAAGTTGTTACTCGCTTTGTTTCCCTGACTGCTAAACGTGGTGGCCTGATTTCTGCATCTGTCGAATAACTTTACAGCACAGATTAAGACACTCTGCATGGATAGTTCTCCTACTGTTAGGCAAACCTGAAACTATATCACAAGGGATCAGAATCAGGTTTTCTTCATGACTGAGAAAAGAACATATGAATAAAGCAGGGCAGAAGAGCATGCTTAACTCTGAGGCATTGGACTAGAATTGTAGAATTCATGTTTGAAAAGTCAGGCAGTAAAATTCCCCACCTCTGCCTCTATGGGGTCTACACTGTTAGATATTTACTCCAAATACGAGTAAGTTCTGTGAAATTTATATTCCTGTGCCTGAGTTGTTTCACTTAATTGGTTACCAGAGGTCTGGGAACGTGCAGGGACAAAGAAAGAAGACACTGGTCTAAGAGGAAATACTTACGGTAGACAGGTGAAATACTTATAGCTAGGCTGGTAAAAGAAACTTTAAGACCTCTATTATACAGCAAGGTGACTGTCATTAATGATGACATTATTCTCCTGAAAAACATAAAGAGCAATGTTGTCATCACTGAAAACTGTCACCACAAGAAGCTACCCCTTTGTTCATTAGCTGTGTGAACCATTTCACACGTATGTATAGTTTACAAGATCATAGCATACAAGGTAAAAATATCTTATATTATACATTACCGCATTATATTTATTACATAGAATACTATACATTAGTATTACATGTTACTATTATGTATTAACGTTCTATATTAGTATTCATTAATTATGTATAAGGTAATGCTATCATATAGCTATATTATTTATTAATTTATATATTAATTAATTTGTTCTGAGAAATTATTCCCATCAAAACAAATTATAGACCGAGTGCAGCACCCCCAGATGAGCAGTGTGCTGCGAGCATCTTATTCGGAAATCCTCCAGCAGGATAAAGCAGCCTGGATAAAGAGCTTCAGTGGAATCCCTTCTCATGAATAGATTTTATGTCCTTCATGTTTTCTTTGTTGCTTTCCTCCTGTCCTGTTTTCTCTACTGCTTTGTCACACACCTGTACATACATTAACACAGCTTGTGCACATACACACAGCATGTAAAGACACAAATATCTGGGCACACACTTAAAAAATGAAATGGAAAAGAATAGTGTGTAAACTTTAGTGTGAAAACATATAGTAGAAGCCCATAGAACCCTGTATCTGTAAATAGTGACCTCCAGAGATGTCAAATCATGTCAGACAGCACATATCCAACCAAAACCAGCAGCCAACAGAAATAAGGAGGGAAATCTAAAATAAAAGGACAAGATGGATTTAAAATGAAAACAAAACCAGATCAGTGTCAGGACTCCTGATTAATATCATAAAATTCAATAAAATTCAGTGAGGTCCTCCAAAAAGAATGTGTAAGCTACAGATATTACGTCTACCCACAATGCACTGGCAGAATGAAATTTATATAAGGTTTTAAGCATGCAAGTCACTGTACTTAGCATCTTTCTGAAAACAACTGCCAAAAATCCTTTTTACCTAAGTGACGACAATAGAAATATTTCAAAAGTACATACATATTTAATTTTAAATCATATATATTCATATATATGCCATCTATTTTATATGCATTTATTTATATTCCCTAATATATGTGTTTATGTTTTATGTCTTTGATAATTCTATATAAGCTATTTATTTGTTTAATAATAGATAGTGAATACACGTTTAGCACAAAGATCATAACTAATGTAAAACTGATACTTGTGCTGACAAGATGTAAATAATATAATTTTGTATTTGTGAAGTTAATAGGAAAAACCTGTAGGAAAAATCGCATGGAGTTTTACATAAGCAAAAAGGAATCTAAGGGCAACTTTTATAGTTGTGAAACCTATATAAAACTTGAGTGACAAAAAGATTATGCGAACTATAAGTACTGTTAATATAAACATAGCCAGCAGATGAAAAGATTAGTACCACGTAAAACAAGAGAATCAGGTCACAGACAAAGAAAACTGGCTGCCTGGAAGAATACAGATAAGATAACCTGTTATCCCAATGATCATAAGAAAAGTGTCATGAAATAATTAAAATTAAGCATGCAGTTACATTAAAAATGTGTTTGCTTGACGGGTTGTCACCTATTAAACAAGCATGAAACCCAAGATGAACCTGCAAAGCAAAACTCAATAGCATATTCGAGAAGCATACCCAAAGTGAGATAATTCAAAACAACCAAAGCTACAATGATAAGAAATATATACCATTAAAAGAAAACAAAATAAGACAGGGGGTTTTACTATTGTGCTGGACAAGGCAAAATTCAGGCCCCAAGTATTATATGTGGCAATGAAGTTCAGCTTTAAACCTAAACTCTGCATCACCATGAATGTGTAGCAGGTACGACTATCTACCCGACACAGCAAAGAGTAAAGGAAGCGGAATCCATAAGCCAAACATTACACAAGAGGCAAGGAGAAGCAGGAAACAATGGAGAAATGACTTTAAAACATCAATATCAGTTAGAAAGCTCAAAAGCACAAAAAGCAGGAAAGAGAAACCTACTACATGTAACAAAAGTAGCAAGCATAGTGATGCGTGTCTGTAATACCTAGCATTCAGAAACCCAAGGCAGGAAGACGACCTGGAGTTCAAGGCCAGCCTGAGCTATACAGTGAAACTATCTCAGAAAGAAAGAAAGAAAGAAAGAAAGAAAGAAAGAAAGAAAGAAAGAAAGAAAGAAAGAAAGAAAGAAAGAACTCCATGTCTTATAGTTATAAACCAGCATTTAAAATATGAGACAATATTAGACAATGTGTTTTTATTTCAACAAACATGATATTGACAAATTAGTGACATATTAAAACACAAAGTAAACATCATTGTATGGAGTAGAATTACACAATTTGGGTCACAACACAATGAAAACAAACAAAACTTAAAACAAAATAAAATTAATTATATAAAATGAGTACATTTCATGAAAGAGTAATTCATCAAAACTGACACAAGAGGAAACAGAAAGCAACCTAGGGTTAATAAAGAATGTGTTAATAAAAATACCTCCAAAAAGTGACAATTTACATAATGAATTTAGGATAAAAGGAAGACAGGTTATTGCATAATTTAAGGCAATTGTGACCACACACACACGTGCCCAAAACATAGCAAAGAAATTAAAGCAAGCGAGAAAGAAAGTAATTCTGACCAATGTGTTTTATGAATAAAGCAAACAAGTCTCCATTTATAACATCAAAAAGTTAAATGCATTAATATATAAAAAGTATGTTATGATCGAGAGAATTTTGCTCAATTGGCAAGACTGGACTGTCATTTAATGGTCAATTAATGTAATTCATAATATTAATGGCATAGAAAGAGGATCAGATTTGAGTGGTGCCAGCAAAGCATGTGAGAACATTTAAAATCATTTGACACCTCAGTAATCAAAAGTGTCAGCATGTGTGGAATGCCAGGAAATACACTCAAACAGGCAAACAACATCTATGAAAATCAGAGAATCGATAATATTCTTAATGGTGAAGGCTGGAAATTTTCACCCTGGGTTTCCATACATGCCAGGAATGCCAGCTGTTCTGTGCCGCACAGAATAAAGAGCGCATTTGTCTTTCTTAACTAAGTAGTAACACAGATGGCCAATAGAAAGAGTGAGGATAGAGGACAGTTGAGCAGGAAGTTAAAGAGAAAGGAGACAGCAGAAAAGACACTTCTGCATGTGGATAAATGAACAATGAAAGGACTGCATCATGTCCAGTTCTGTGAGGGACTTTCCTACTGTACTGCACTGTGATCAGCAGATAGTTTTCTCCAGCTGCATAGTGATGAGAAACATTTCCTCCTCGGAGGTATAATCTACCCAAAGGTACTATTCATGACCTTTTGGAAACTGATTATTTTTGGAAAATCTTATTACATTTTCTGGTAATCTGGTTTAATACCACTTGGTCAAAATAAGTAAGAATGTATTCCATAACTTATTGTCTTTTTATTAAATTTAAAATTATAAAATAACCAGACGATTACTAAACAGCATTGATTTTTTTTTGTTACATGAACAAAATATTTTCACAAATACTTCTTTCAGCCACCTATCATAAATTTATATTTAAAAAGAAATGTCATCAAGAAAATTATACATTTTCATAGAGTGCTATGCTAACATACTAATGGATTGTACTTAATAGCTTAAACATCAAGAATAAATCACCATTTTGATGAATCTGAAGATACACTTAGGAACCTTACTCTCAGAAAACAAATGGAGATGCTTTCATTATTATGTAAACATTGCAAGCTTATTGCTTTAAAACAAGTGAATGTTATGGAGAATAAGTGCATTAAAAGATCTTTTGAGTTAGGGCCTGTTTCCGAGAAATATTTATGCTTTAATAATTGCAAATAAATTTATAGTAAATTTAATTTTTGCATGTGGAATCATGTTTTATCGAAAAGCTTAGCAATTACAACATGAAGCACTCTTAATAAAATATACAGATTGAGAGTGGCTGATACAGAATAACAACACTAATAGTATTAGAAAACAATTTACTCAAATAAAAAAGCAATTTGATACAGTTTGCTTCTTACATGGTGCTGTCTTCAATTTCTTGGCAAAGTAAATTAGTTCAAGAAATATGTCCCATATGAAGTGGGTTGACCTACATCATAAAATAGAAGGTCAAGGAAATTTTACTGGAGTGAATTTATAAGAATAGTTCTGTAAAATGTGTTTTAAAATAATATCCAGAAAACTAGATGTAATTTGTTAGCAACTTAATCCTCTTTCATATACATACACCATCTTCTCTCTAACAGGTGAATCCAGAAATGGTAAGGAATGTGGCTGGGGATAAAATGGAAACCATGTTCTTTGTGTTGCTCTTAATTTATCTTTGAATTAGGGGACTTTCATTTTTCTAGTATATCTGACTACACACAAAAAATATGAAGTTTCAATGTCAACACCTTGAAAAAGATTTGGATTCTAAAACATCTGAGACAAATGGTACATTTCTGTCAAAAAATAGAGACACAAACTGTCAAATGTCTCACCTTTACAAGCACAAGAAACAATAATCAAATATAGTCAAACTGATATAAATAAAAATAAAAATAGGTGGATTTGAGACAAGAGAATAGAAAGAAGAAAAGCAAGTTACACAATACAAAATAAGACTAAGTTCCAAGACCCTTAATTATAGGTAAATAGTTTTGAAATTTCATTTCCTTTAGTATCTGAATGAGACGTTTTCCAGCGCCCCTGAGACAGGGGAAGCATTACGACCACACATTGCATTGTAAAGTTAGGGCCATACAGCTTCCTGAGGATTTATGTCCTAACAACTTACTATCCCTGTGAGGAAAGCACACGGAAAATAAAACAAAATTATTTCATTCTTTTAGTCACAATTTCTTACAAATATAATGCACACAATCCCTGGATACTGAAGAAGTTCTCAAAACTTGGAAGCAACTTAGACCCTGCTGTCTCATTGATGTTTATTGTGGGACTTG